CCAAACATGCCTCACACTAAACAAATAGCAGAGTATCTAACAGAATTAAATAAGGAAGTAGGTAGTAGTGTGAGAGGTCACACAACTGTTGGGATGGAGAAAAATATTAAATTTGTTACTTCTTGTAACATTAATTTCTGTTTTTTGAGGGAAGTTTCAATGTAGTCTTGTCTTTCTGATAAATCCTCTTATGCTATTTGACATTTTAAAAGAAATAAATAGTATTGGATTACTTATAGTTGGTTAGTGAATTATTAAACTACTGTCATGTTATATATCATTGTGAGAGAATCTTGTTTATGCATCATAAGACATAAAGCATAAAAATGCTGAATTCAAATGTGCATTTTCCCAGTAAGAAAATATAAAAACCTTAAAAGTTTCAAAAACACTTCTTCTAAGAAATGCAATGATTTCTCTTCATAGCCAAAACATGACACATCCCGATGAAAATTTTAAAGTCACTTAAAAGCATATTTTATTCATTGATATTAGCATCTTTGGAATGTGTAAAAAAAAGTAGCTATCTAGAAAAGTAATTCAAAAATATTTTCAGAAAATCTACCTTCAGGAAAAAAAATCATTCCTCAAATTTTGATTTCTCATTTAAATTAAAATTTAATAAAAAAAAATCCACCCTTGAAAACAAAACATCTACTTAAAGGCAGTGCTTTTGCTCTTCAGAGTATTTCTATGATTTTGGTATTTCATGCCAGTGGGTTTTCTCTTCACAACTACCACTACCATGGCAACATCAGCAACACATTGCCACGTCCCCTGCCCTTGCTCTGTGCTTGACATGGCAAATGGGGGTCTGTTTTTCCACTCATGTCTGCAAGTGAAAGGAATGCAGAAATACTAGGTGTCATTAAAACATATGTATAAATTAATATGCAGGATGCATGTTCTGTAAGATCCTAAGGTAATATTTACAAAGTGGTTTGGATATATGATCCAAGAGTAGCTGCTTTGCAGAGCTAAAGGCAGAATCTGAGCCGTTGCCTGGCTCGACTCATTTGACTGTTAAAGTGACTTACATCTATGATGCCTCACAATATGGTACATCTTTAGAAAAAAAATAATTACGCTATTATCCTTCTGTGTATAGTCAGAGAGGCTTTCTTTTGCTTTACCAAGTTAAAGAGTCCTCATCAATGGTAGTTATCATTTCCAGTGGGCTGACAATATGCCCACAATGGAAGATCTCCAGGGAATAAAACGCATGTCTTTGAGTTCCATTATTACAATATATTAAATCTTTCATAAAAGGTTTTCTCTTTTGGTATCTTAATGTTTTAAAATACGATAAAGTTCTTTTTCATGTATGAGGTAAACTCTAATTCAAGTGAAAATGGAGCAATAGGAAGTTTGGGAAAGTTCAAAAGAAGGTGGACAAGAAAAAAAAAACTCTCATCCTCCCAAGCCAGGACTTCTGACTTCTAAGACCAACCTAAGAAAGGGATCACTTTTGTCTTTGTGTCTCTTCAATCATCTGTGATCTCAGAGAGCAGAGAGGAATGACTGTTAAATCAACCTCAGCTCCAAAACAGAACGGGCCTCTGTGGGACCTGCTTATACAAGAAAAGGATGCCCAGCAGGAAGCTCAGATTATAAAGGACGAGAAAAATTAGAAAAGAGACAACATAGAGTGAGGGGGGTGGATTGGGTCCACAGGAGGCTGGCAAAACTTTTCCATGTGAGCCCACTGCATGAAAAAGGAGATAAATGACATAGGAGGGACCATTAGGCCCAGGGGAGAAAAAACCCTGGATTTACATTCTGATTTTTCTAATAAACAGCTACATTTTAATCTAGATGAACTTGGATGAGTCCCTTCTATCTAATTCTCCAATTTAACAAACATTTACTAGGTAACTCTTATGTCTAAGGCATTGGGCTTTGAGTGAGAGGGTATTTTAATACTATAGCATAAGAGTTTAAACCTGAGGGAGGGCAGGCACTGATTGCATCAGAATCTGTAGGATCCCACCCCAGAACTAGCAAATGGGAATCTCTGGAGGTGGCTAATTCCTGAGTAATTTTTAGGCACATGAAAGTTTGAAAGCCAGCATTTAGGTAGAGATTTTTTTTAAAAAAAAATGAGTGCAGTATGTACCTTCAAAAATATTCTGATCTAATTTCCTTTTCTTTAAAAAGGGCCTTTGTACTAGGTGATTTCCAAAAGTTTTCTGATAATTCACTTTAATGTTTTTTTTTCCTAACAGTTAACCTTTTACATGGTACTATCACTTAATATGTATAATTTTAGTTATGTGACCTGGTTCTACTTATCCAGCCATTTATAGATGGTTTGAATAAACCATAAGAATTTTATTGTCATATTCTTCTTTAGAATCAAGTAAAAACCTCCTCTTCTCCTCTGATGCTTCCCCTACCCCACATTTTTTACATTGGTTCATATTAGTTATACATAGCATTAGGATTCAGTTTGATATCATTATAAACAATGGATTTTAATTTGCTCTAATTCAGTCCCAAGTACTTCTCCTTACCTTCTCGTTTTTTTTTAATTACTGCCTTGTGCATATACATAATGGTGAGATTCACTGCAATATATTCATATATTTTACATAGGAAAGTTAGGTCAGATTCATTCCACAGTTTTTCCCTTTCCCTTTTCTCCTCCCTCCCCCTCAATCCCCTTACTCTACTCTGTTGATCTTTCTTTTATTTTGATAGTATTTTATTTGATAGTATTTGATAGATTCCTGCTTAACCGCTGAGCCACATCCGAGCCTTTTTGATTTTTAAATTTGAGACAGGGCCTCACTAAGTTGCTGAGGCTGGCTTTGAACTTTAAACCTCCTGCCTCAGCTTCCTAAAATGCTGGGATTACAGGTGTACACTACAGTGTCAGACTCTCTTTTTTTCTTTACTCTTGACTAGCTTCCACTGTCAAAGAAAACATTGGACCTTTGACTTTCTGTGTCTGGATTATTTGACTTAGTGTGGTAGTCTCCAGTTTCATTCATTTACCAGCAATTGTCATACGCTCATTTTTCTTCATGGCTGAATGATACTCCATTGTGTATATATGCCATACTTACTTTATGTACTTATCTGATGAAGGACACCTTTGTTGGCTCCATAGCTTGGCTATTGTGAATTATAGAGCTCTAAACATTGATGTGGCTGCACACCTATGGTAGGCTTATCTTAGATCTTTTGGATGCATACTGAGGAGTGGGATAGCTGGGTCATATGGTGGTTCCATTCCTTCTGTTTGGAGGAATCTCTATATTGTTAATAAGTGGGCAAAAGAACTAAACAAACTTATCAAAAGAAGAACTACAAATGGCCAACAAATACATGAAAATATGTTTACATCTCCAGGAATCAGCAAAATGCAAATCAAAATCACCTTGAGATTCCATCTCATTCCAGTCAGAATGACAGTTATCAAGAATACAAATAATAATAAGTGTTGTTGAGAATATGGAGAAAAAAGTTACATTCATACATTATTGTTGGGGCTGCAAATTAGTGCAATCCCTCTGAAGCTTTTGATGGTACCCAGGGAAGCAAGAGATCAGGATTTGGTGAACTGGGTTCTGCTTTCAACTAGTTACAAGCAAGTAGACATGATGCACCCTCCCTCACCCCTATAGGCTTCAGCTTCTTTGTGAGATGAGAAGTTAGTTTATTCAAATGACAAAGGCTATATGTACTCAGATGACAAAATTCCTAGGGTTTATGACTCTTGAAATTTATAAAACATTAGTGAGAAACCTCTTATCTGTGAGCTCGTGCCACAGTCTGTAGAAAACAAAATTCATATATGTGAGTATTGCTCTTTGGGAAGTTATAAACTCTCAGGATCAATCCATCTTAGCCCCACTGACTTTACTATTGAATTATCTCTTGCACTCATTTTTTCCTCTTCATCCCCACTGCAGAGGCCTAGACTCTTTGAAATGATTCACTGAGACCAACAGGACAGCTTCTTGACTGCTGTGTTTCCAGTCTAATTTACACTCCACCCCACCACCAGGCCTGTCCCTTGGTAAACAGATACCATGTCACTCATCACTCCAAAGCCTTTCAGTAGATGCACATAATTTGATCAATTTCTTTCCCCAGTACCTCCTTTTCCCTTCCCTCCTCTCTCCCCAAATCAGATTGCTTCAATTTGCAGATTGATTTTTATTGTTGTTAATTATATATGTAGTTATATATAATTTTTATATACAATATTCATCATATATTCATTCATTATGTATATTTATATTATCTAATATGTATACTTATATACATTAATAATAAAATAAAATCCTTCAGTATTTCTCCTGTGCTAAAGCCAGAATAAACACAGGGGAAGATCATGTGGAAGTCCCTGTCACCACTGCCAGTGTCCTGCCTAACCTTGTTTTTCACCACTTTTCTACCAGCCCCTTTGTGTCTACTGATTAGCTACATGTGCTGGTCCCAGGGTTTCCCCAGATCTATTTCAGACTCTTAAATTTCCCATGTTTTGTTTCCTAGAATTCCTTTCATTTCCTTGCCTACCTTTTATTGCACTTGATAAATATCTATTATATTCTTAATTTATATATTTTTCTCATCTTTCTTTCCTTACATATTTTCAGCAAAATAAAAGCTAGGATTATATCTCATCCTTTGTACCTTTTCAGTCTATAGTTGTGACTCATAGTAGATGTTCAAAAAATGGTTGCCAACATAAATTCAGTTAACTAGAAAAGTTTTGATAAAATATTAAAAAGGAAAAACTGAAAATAACTCTAAAACAGAATATCCTACAAAATAACAACTTACTTTTATTTAGATGTAAATGAGATTTCTTTGCAATATAGATTATGGAAAACTTATAAGATGTCTGTGCATACTGTTTGACACAAACATTAGAAAGGGTGCACTGTAAATTAACATTGAAAAGATATAATGGCTCACATTTGAATGATGGACATTAGAAAGAGCAATAGTTAGGGTCAAACAAAGTTTACAGTTGAGGCTGCATGTACCTGTTAGATCTGTATTGGGCCACCACCCCAGGTCACAGGCTTTGCAGGTAAACTCATCTTGCACGTATTCATTCTCCTTGCAGGCTGTGCAAATCCAGCAGCAGCTCACTTCTCCTTTCCGTATGACCTGTAACACAGGAATATTTCACATCCTAAAGGTTTTCTTGCCAGAAAAAATCCTATATGTTGAGGAACCTTAAGAATATAGATTAGAACATATAGGATTATTTTAGAATTCAATTGTGAATCTCTGTTCAGCCCATCCTGAGTGTGGAGATTTTAAATAATAATTCATTTTATAGATTGAAATGACTGTATTATTTTAAGGTTTTAAAAAATAAGACAGTTTTAGTTTTTCCTTGTTTATATTTGTATTTATTCATTGCTCTAAGGGTAAGAATTACCTTTTGCTCTGAAGAAAAAAGTGATGTTTAGCCACAAAAGTTTTTATACAATTAAACCTTATTAGTTCACAAAAACAGGGATTATAAAATCTTGTTGTGATTATGAAAAAGAATTATAGATAATTTCATTCTACAGCAACTTTTTATACATAAGGCCAGAGTGATGGCAAAGAAAACATAACCGGGTATTGGCTCTGTCTGACTTGCTCTAGTGAATTTAAACAATCATATTAATTGTTGGAAGAAAAAGTTACTAGTCAAAAATTATGGAAGAGTTGCTTTTTATCTGAGTACTTTAACTTTTCCCCATTTTCTATTTGTTTGTAAATACTTTCACACTTATTTGAACAAAACTAAACATCAAAACAACCTGCACTTTAAGTGAGTACAGGAATGTGGATGGCATGTAATTAGGTCTTGCTTTCATCTCTTGCCTGACAATTTCTGCCCTTCATTCCTTAATAATTCACTTATTACAATAATAAATATGGTTTGCTATATCTTTTCATTTTTACCTATTACATTTGTTCTTTGTTCCTTTTCCCTGATTTCCTGCCTTCATTTTTAGCATTCCATGCTATTCCCAATAGTGGCTTAGTAGCTGGACCTCTTTTTGTTTCAGTGGTTGCTCTTTCATTGACAGTAGGCACCATTAACTTATCACATCTATATTTCACTAATACTTTGCCATTATACTACATGCATAAAATTGTATGATGTAAGAATCCTACATTAATGTTCTTTCATTTTTCCTTCCCATCCTTATGGCTACCATTTTAATACATTACTTATAAGCATTTTATAGCACCATCTCCCACAACTATCTTTTTATTTCAAACAATTATTTTTAAGTAAAATTGTAAAAATCAGAAAATTTGGAATCAGAAAAAAATTGTTATATGACCAAGGTGTAGTGGTGCATGCCTGTAATCCCAGCTACTGGGAAGCTTGAGGCAGGAGGATCTCAAGATTGATGCAACACAGTGAGCCCCGTCACAATGAAGGAGAAGGAGAAGAAAGATGAGGAAAAGGAGAAGAGGAGGAGGAAGAGGAGGAGGAAGTGGAGGAAGAGAAAGAGGAAGAGGAGGAGGAGGAGGTGGAAGGGGAAGAGGAGGAGGAGGAGGAGGAAGGGGAGGAGGAGGAGGAGGAAGAGGAGGAGGAGGAGGAGGAGGAGGAAGAAGGGGAGGAGGAGGAGGAAGAGGAGGAGGAGGAGGAGGAAGAACAAGAAACTGGAAAAATGCCTTTGTCTTTGTCAGCGCTGCAAATTCCATTCCCTAGAAATTGTTCTTTACTTGGACTCTTAGAATTCCACTGTACTTAAATGCAGATTAATAGTCAAATAATCAAGGGAAAATCTCTGGAAATTTATGGGACTCACTTTTTTTTCTTTCTCCTGAACAGATCCATCTTCTACCTTACCTGTACTGCAATTTGTAGCTGCCTTGGCCTCCCAAACTATGATTCTGTCTTCTTAAAGTAGCAAGATGACCAAACTCTGTTTCTCTAGTTGGACAATTAGGAAATTTCCTCCAGGCAAAATGCTTGAGTGATTTTAGGGTTTACTTTGTTTATCTCCCTTCACTTCTCTGGCATCAGGGTCATGTACTCCCTTCCAATGTCTGAACACAGACAGTTGTTTCATGTTTTATCAAATTTTTTTTATTGTTTAGTATGGAAGGCTAAGTATGAGCCCTTTTATCCCTCATTTTAGGAGCAGAAGACATTCCCTAACATATTAGAAATTACTGAATATTTCCATATGTAGAGTCAGAATTGAACTGTAAATATTTCCATGCTTTAAAATGATAGAAACTCTAGACTTCATGAAAATAAAATGATTTTTCTACAGATAAAGTTGAAATTTATACCACTGTTTTATAATTACATAAAAATACCAAATAACAGAATATTTTGAACAAATGTAAAATATTTTTCTTTTCTTACTTTACTTTTAAATAATTTTGAAACTAAAATGAAATCAAGTCTTTTTTGAAAAAATTTATAACTATCCTCAAAATAGAACATTTATATTCCCAATCATCATTTGTTTTCTGATATGAGAAAAATTCAATTAATAAATGAATGTTTCTTTCTTATTTTAATTAGAATAAGCAGTATCGTAAGAGACAATACAAAATATTCTATGTTACTTCACCTACCTTTAATTTTTCTTTTCCTATTAAATTAGTATCACTAATTAGGCAAACTCAAAAGATGATAATGCTAAGCAATTTATTAACTTCAGTTTTCCTGTCCTTTTAGTGTATCCCAGCTCATTAGTCCTCCAATCAAAGGTACTGAGATAAAAGAGGCAATATTTTACCAGAAAATAATGTTAGAATATCCTTAGTTATTTTTCATTTTGATGAACTTGTTGCAACGTTTCCATTATTGCAAAATATATGGAACAATACTGTTCCTTAGACTGATCTCATATAGTACAAGTTTCATAAATTACATGATTGAAGTCATGTAATATTTGGGTTAATTTTGACATAGTCATACATGCATGAAATTTCATTTGCTCCATTCCAGTCCCCAGTGCTTCCTCTTTCTCTCCTCTATCCCTCCTTCTAGTCTCCTTCCTCTACTCTCCTGGTCTTTCTTCTATTTCTTTTGTTTTAAAAAATGGCTGCTTCTGCACAATTCACGATAGCAAGATTGTGGAACCAACCTAGATGCCCTTCAATAGATGAATGGATAAAAAAATGTGGCATTTATACACAATGGAGTATTACTCTGCATTAAGAAABRACAARATCATAGAATTYGGAGGGAAATGGATGGCATTAGARCAGATTATGCTAAGTGAAGCTAGCCAATCCYTAAAAAACAAATRCCAAATRACTYCTTTGATATAAGGGAAGTAACTAAGGACAGAGTAGGGACGAAGAACAGGAGAAGAAGATCAACATTAATAGAGATGAGAGGGGGGAGGGAAAGGGAGAGAGAAGGGAAATTGCATGGAAAGGGATGGTGATCCTCAGGGTTATACAAAATTACATACAAGAGGAAGTGAGGGGTAAGGAAAGAATAATACAAGTGGAGGAAGTGTTTTACAGTAAAGGGGGTTGAGAGAGAAGAGGGGAGGGGAGGRGAGGGGAGGGGGGATAGTAGAGAATAGGATAGAGAGCAGAATTCATCAGACGCTAGAATGGCAATATGTAAATCAATGGAAATGTAATTGATGTAACTGATGTGATTCAGCAATCTGTATACGGGGTAAAAATGGGAGTTCATAACCCTTTTGAATCAAACTGTGAAATATATCAAAATAGATGTAATGTTTTGAACTACCAACAATAAAAAAAAAAATAAATGACCATAGGCACATTTAAAAAAAAATGGCTGCTTCTTAGATAGACAAAAAGGTGGAATTCACTGTGGTAGATTTGTACATGTACATGGTGTTGTGTTTGGCTGGTTGAAGGTAAGAAGAAGAAATGATCAACTTCCCAATCCAGTCTCCCAACCCCAAACCCTTTTCTTGGACAAAATAATCTGAAGACACATTTAAAGGAAAAAGAAAACAGAAAAAAAAAAAAGAGGGAAAGGAGAGAGAGGGGAAAGAATGGATCGGAGGGCAGTGAAAGCAACCTGTAGGGTCCTTTCTCTTGCTTCTCTGCCATTTTCTTTTATCTCTACTAAACCCTGTCTCCTTCACAAATATTGTTTCCTTAAGTCTGGATTCTGTTCCGTCTGTGTTTTAAAAGTGGATCACTATGATTTTTTTTGTGAACTACTGAGCATCTAAGGCTTGGAAATTGAAATTTGCATTTGTAGGATACATGCCAGTTCACATAATGAAGGATAGCTTAGCAACATGTGGCCATAGGATGATAAGAGCTTTGGAATGACTCCAAGCCTAGCTTTGGCAGATTCTAGTTGAGAGAGATCAGGAGCAAGAGACTTAACCCCTCTCAGTTTCAGATCTGTAAAATAAGGGTGGTAATGCCTGCTTCATAAAAGTTGTCTCAAGGAGTAATTGAAATGATGTAGGTAAAGCATCGGTTGCAGTGGAACAAGAACATGCTTGGTTGATGTCGGTCCTGATCTCCCTCCCTTTGCCTTCCCGTCCCTTTTTGTTCTTCACCATAACAAGCAAAAGAGCATCAGACTCCGTATATGAGACCCGTCACTCCAGACCCTTGTTATTTACTTGAATGACATTGTCCATAAAATAAGTGCTTCCTCAGACTCTCTTGGCCTCCCTTGTACCCAGTGCCCTTGGCCACCAGCTTCACTTCTGTGAATACCAGCTCAGCCTCTAATACTATTCTTTCTTCTTCAGACACCTTCAGTTGTCTTTCTCTCTCTGAAAGTACGTGCCAGATCCCAGAACTTCCTCCACTGGACTCACCTTCACAGAAACCCTAGCCAGACCACAGGGGACACACAGGCTCTTTTCCTTCTCACTACCTCCAAGAACCAGAAGAGGAAGCCAAGTAAGAAGACATGGATTTTGGCTTCCTCAGTCATTACTTGAGGGGTCAGGTGATGCAACTCCATGTGAGCATAAACTTTGACCAAAGGAAGCAGAAAATAGATACATTCATTCTTTTCCCCTCTTTTCTCCAGTAGTGTGAATAGTCTGCCCTGAGATCTCTGCAAGGCTCAGTCAGTAGTCATGCCAATGAGGCATGGTCCTTCTCAATAAGGTATTTTTTTTTGGTTATTGCTTATTTGCTTATTTTTGTTTTTCCTCATTCCTTCTTGTCTTACTTCCCTTTCACTCTCACTCTTGTTTTTCTGAGATTGGATCTCCAAATAATTTATTGCATACTTTTTTAGTGTTCAAGGGAATCTGCACTGAGATACTTGTGAATACATTTTCCAGGATCTCTTATCAACTGTCTTCTAAATAGGTTTGGTAAAATAGAATGGACTGATGGGAAACTGAAGAGAGAAAATAGAATTGTCTTCCACCTCAAGGAGCAGCTCAGGTAGAGGCTGTGCATTCTTCCTCTGGCCTGAGAGTGGAATGAATTTTCTCTGTTGCTCATCTCTGAGTTGATCTCAGAGTGCCTTTGAGTGTCTCCTTTTAAAAGGCTTTTGTAACCAGTTTCCTATATTAAGTTCCCTCTATTGAATCACATGTCATGGACGCTTCCTGAAAAGATCCTAATACAATACATAACAGTAAAGAATATGATTGAATTTGCCTGTGTTTGTGGTGTTACTGAAATAATACTTTTCCTCCATAAGATATTATATTTATAAGAGATATATTTCTAAATATAAGTAACAGAAGGAAACTGGGCTTTTAACTACTTCTAAGGAAATTATCATAAGAAAGTTCTATACGTTGTCAGAAAAGACATCCAATTATTATTTTAGCATTTTAAATGGCATTGGATATTAAACCTGAGTAGCCTTTTCCTAAAGACTTTATTTCCCACTTGATATAAATGCATGTTTGACAGTCACCTTGAAGCTGCCTCTCTCCTGTCTTCACGGTGGCTACTGAGATTTAGCTTTCTGCATCCTGGGCCTGGTAGGGGGCAAATGAGTGGTATTAGAATGTAAGTGCCATTATTTGGTAAATGGGATTCAGATTTCATTTGTTTCTTTACCTCCCAAGGTGTTTATGGGAAACAAACACCACCACACCCCTCTCCTGGTGCTACTAAGAACTGGCATATTTTCCTCCTGCAGGGCACACAATATTTCTAAAATTGGCCCCCAAGAGATTTGTACTTATTGTGAGTGCTCTGTAATAGCTCGGCAATGATTTCTGGGATCTCCTTCGATGATACTGAATGGGTATAACACAAACTCACTGCCAGAAATACTTCAGTACTTAGGCAGAAAGATGTCAGCAGACAGCCTTGCCTCTGAATTTGAGGAGGAAAGAGGCCTCTCTTCTGGAATGCACAAGTGGGAATTCACATGGTATGTGACACCCAGGCATGGCTTGCCAGCACTCAGAGCAACGGGAGAGAATTATGACAGGGAGCTGGAGCACAGGGAATCCTTGAAACAATTATTTTTTCTGCCGTTTCCCCCCCCCCCTTATCTCCTGGAATACTTTGTGGTTTCATAGACCGTTTCATAGTGTTTGTCCATGGAGCAGAATCAATGCTATATCCACACTGGAAAGGAGGCCTGAGTCAAACATGTGACACCCTTTGGGTCAGAGAAGTAGAAGAGCTCAAACTTCTGCATTCCCCTCGATATGTGGTGTCAGTTCTCAGATGTGCTGGTTTTGTTTTGTTTTTCTCAACATCAAGAAAAGACAATACAACCAGAACCCCTTGGTCTAGCATCTAATGGTAAAGGACAAGAAGTTTGGAGCTTCCGGATTTCAAAGGACATACTTCTGCATACCACCAGATGGCCCCATGTGAAAGAATTCCAGAAGAAATGGCTGTTGAGGGAGAAACAGAGTTGTTTCTCATACACACTGGATTGGCTTAGGATCATTCTTATCACTGCAGAAACTCTTTGGTATAGATTAGAAACTAACAGTGAATTGCTTGATACTACACCAGCTATATAAGAACTCTTGGGTCAAGTCTTCCCATAATCCACTCTGTTAGTCCATTTTTCTGTCGCTGAAACAAAATACTGGAGGCTGAATAATTTACAAAGAAAAGAGGTGTGTTTATCTCACAGTTTCAGAAGTGGGAGGTTCAAACCGAATGGTTCTGTTTGGCTTCTAGTGAAGCCTCCTCTGGCTGCATCAAAACATGGAGGAGAAATAAAACAGGAACTGCTGGGTGCAGAAGGGGTCAAGCATGTGGGGTGTCCTCACTTCATAGCAATATACTCTCACAAGAACTAACACTCTGTGGACTGGCATAAATGTCTTCTGAGGGTGATGGCCCCAGTGACTTAATTACCGCCCACTAAGCCCCAGCTCTTCAATATTCTCCCACATTCTAACATCATCACATTGATGAACAAACTTCCAGCACAGGAATCTTTGGGGAACACAAACCAAGCCATATCTAAACTCCAGCACCTATAAACTCGAAGATTAGCCACGGTCATGGCAGGAGCCCTTTAGCATTGCATCCTGACACAGCACTAGAGTAGAGAATAATCTGATTGGCTAGTTGTCTTGATAATTGACAAATATTTTTATATAACTTGTGCAGAAAAGGTACAAGATATTTAAAACTAGGGTGATTTGTCTCAGAAACTTACTGCTTTCTCACAGTGGCTGGAGTCACTGAGAATTTGTCCACCAGGACAGCTCATGTCATTTGACAAGAACTGTTCCTGGCCCATAATCTTCCACCTTTTCTTGGAACTTGAAATAAGACTTCTCCAGCATATACACCCAAAGTCATATACTACATGACTAGATCTTTGCCATCAGAATCTTACGCTTACTAAGGGCATCTCTTCTGTAGGGTCCCTGCAAGGCAGAGATGACGTAGCGGCACCGTGGCTCTGTGAGGGTGCCAGAGCCTCACACACCATCTACTCCAGCTCCAGCTGTGCTGTGTGACATTTATGTGACAGTCTGTCTTCTCCCCAAGATGAATCACAGAAAATTAGAGATGGGAAAGACCTATTAGTTCATCTAATCCTCACCCCTGCCAGTTCACAATCCCTCCCTCTGCTCCATTTCCCCGTGCATCATCCACTTTGACTGAAATAGCATGGCATACAAAGAGTGCTGCTCCAAGCCTCATCACTGAGAATTCTCTCTAGCACACCAGATAATATAGGTCTGCATTTACTCCAGCTTTCTTAATACGGTAAACTTATGGTTCACTTATTCTACTTCATTTCTTCCCACCCAAAGTCCTGGATATAATTAGAAAGTGGGGACTCTCTCTTGGTTAGAGAAAAAAAAATTCATTTCAGAAGAATCAAAAGACTTGATAAAGAAAAAGGAAATGACATGCCAAGTTTCTTATGTTACCTCATTTCAACTTCTGTTAGTTTAGTTTTGTGCTTATTTGACATTGCTCAGCTTTTGCCTTCTTTAACAATTGCTAGAACAATGACTAAGCACTATTATTGGCTTTTTTCCCCACATTTACTTCTACTTAAAATTTTTTAATTTTAAAATGTTTAATTGACAAAATTGTGTATATTCAAAGTGAACCACATGATAATTTGATGCATCTACGCATCATATGATGATTACCACAGTCAAATTAATTAATACATCCATCTAAACCATGGCATAGAGCCCCAGAACTTTATTCAGTCATAACTGGAACCATGACTCAGCAGCAATATTGGTTTTGACTTTGGTTTTCACATTTACTTCCATTTCAAGTTTTAACTTGATTCTTTATCTCCTTGCTGCCTACAGTATATGTAAGTTCCCAGTTTATCAACATGATTAAAATAAAAGCGATTTAAATATTCTAAACTATTAGAATAGTTTACCTATTCCCTTTCCTAATGCTTCCTTTGTTTTTCTATTTTATCTAAACACAGGAGTACAAGCAGGTAGCCTGGCACACCCTTTCTGCATAGTCTTGTTTAAAAATTCCTTTTCTCTCAATAATGTTCCTTTTCCCTCAGTAATGTCTCAGTGGTAGACCTTCTTGACAATACAGTCCAAGAACGCAGAGGTGGCTCACCTTTATCTGACCCTTTAAGCAAGGCTCACTGCACACAGACCGTACCATTCCACTCTTATTCATCTGGATTTTGTAATCATCGATGTTCAGCACTCCTTCATGCCAGGTTCCAACATGTACATAGTCATAGCGATTAGCTTCAGTGTACTGCAGATTCATGATATCATACCTACAGGGGAAAGAGCCTGTGAGTCTTGTAGGATACGGACATCATGTAGAAAACAAAGAAGTATATTAAATATATTTTAATTGAAGACAGATAAAAGCTAGAATCATTGCACGTCCTAACTCCAGATACTGTAAACATTTTAGTTTATTTCTAATGTTTCTTCTGATTTTCCAGAATGGATCTGTGTATCATCAACAGTTGATAAGGAATATGTTACTCTCATAAATGTCTTTCTGCTCATCCTCCAAAAAGGAATTCTATATGTATTGAGTTGATGATCTCTTTCAAATTATAATTCACTAAGTTAATCTTTGAACAAGTAACAATCCATAAGAATATTAATAACTATATTTGGTTACTTATATTCCATTCCTTTTCACATTGAATTGCCATTTTCATTACACTGGATAAAAAGAGGGTTGTTTTACCAAATTTGGAACCTTTTTAAGGCACTAATAGAACCAGAAAACTCAGAAAGGTATATTTAATGTGTAAGGTTGTTAGGGATATGACCTCTTATGCATTGACATTTAAACTGATCTCTTCCCTGATCAGGACAAACATTTCTGGAACCTAATAACTGGTGTCAGTTACTTTAGTAAGTTTCAATGCTGAAATGCTTTGCAATGGCAAATCTACATTTAAGCTCCCCCCAGTAGTAATGATGCCACTGTATATCTTTTCTTTTCTTTTTCATTTTTTAAGAAATCTTTACTTCAGCCAAAGCAGATTCTGGGGGCAAGGCCTCATCATTTCCTGCATGGAGAGCTGGAGAATTCTTCAATGCAATGGAAAGAACAGAGAACTTAATATCAGAATGTATGAGTTGGTGCTTCTCTAACATTTTAACCATAGGTTACACTACTTGGCAATGTCACTAAAGTCTTTAAGCTTCATGGGTCTCTTGTGGGGATTTATGAACATAAGGCATGTACAAAACCACTTTATAGTTGGCACTAATGCAAAGGTTCTATGGTTCCAATGTTTGTTGAAATTCTACCCCCATAGTGATGGGGTTAAGAGATGGGGAAGAGCCCTCATTAGTGAGATTAGTGTCTACAAAAGCCTTGCCCCGGTCCCCAAATAAAACTCCCTTTTCCATTCCACCACATAAAGACACAGTTAGAAGCTTACGTCTATGATTCAGAGTGTGACACTTCACCAGACACCAAATCTCTTAGGGCCTTGATCTTGGACTTTCTGCCTCCAGACTTGGAAGCAATAATTTTCTTTTGTTTATATGCCAACCTTCTATGATATTCTGTTATAACTGCCCAAATGGACTGAGATAATGCGCAAGGCAATATCACAGAATCATTCATATTTGCATTTCCATGGATACTCTAAAACACTTCAGTTCTTTCCATTAATATAAATAAACAAAACTGGAGAAGGCATTTGTGTTGGCATAACCATTTGTCTCTCAGTCATTAAAAATTCTCTAGTATTCTTACATCTACTTTCCATGTTGATGTTCACTCTAAGCAAACAAACTATAACTCATGTGGTCATGTGCCAACACTCTACGTCTGGCTTTCTCTTCCTAGCTCTGTAGTGGGATTCTTTTCTGTAGTACCTATGAGGAATCCTTCCCCTACTGGGCTACATAGAATACAGGTCATGGTATCTTGCTGTCGGTGCATGACCTAAGGAAATACATAATGGTTAACCAACTGATTTTCCTCTTTCTCATCTTCATTCCCCCATGCTGTTGCCTGAGTCATCCTGGAATTATTTCTCTCTATACCTGACTCAGGCGCACGGTCTTTCTCAGCATTTCACTCAGGAATTCTACTACCCTTAAGCCTAAGTTGGTTTTCAAAGCCTATTTGCTGTATCTGACCCCGTTTGTTATTGACTTTTCAATTTATTGACTTTTCTTCCTGTTCTCAATGTGTGAAAGCATCCTGTCATGCACAGGGTAGCTTGTGGCTTCTCCATGTCCAGATTCAGGCGATTCCTATAAGAGCTGTCTCCTGAAAGAAAGGAGCCCAGTGTACAGGAAGTGTCCCCTTGTGCTGTGAGCAAAGCTTACCAAGAGTGAGAAGAGAGACCAGTGCACCTGGAGCTCATCCTTCAAATTTGTGCTATTTTGGCTTCAGCAAGAGTTATTATGCCTCTTGTTACTGAATCATGCCAGAATGTTCTTCAGAATAACTGAGTGGTATTTGAGTGGATATTAATTGTGAGCTCACACTCTTTCTGTGCTCAAAGGCACTAATCTGTACCTCTAATACCTTTCCATTTTAAGCTCACTATGGCTATAGAACCAACTGCAAATATTCTATGGAGTAGTTTTCTTTTCAATTTCATTAAATTTTTTTGGTGTTTTATTTTATATTATGCCATGACACTTTCTTTGAACTTTCAAGGAAGGCTTTGCTGCAATAGTAGCTTTAGAATAAGGTTTTTCTATAAGTCAGTTTCCTAAGACTTTTATTTCAACTTCTTTAGTTTTGCACTTTCATAGAGGAAATTGGTTCACACTTTATTTACATTTAGGGACCTCAAAATCCACAGTATTTTGGTACGAAAACACATTTTTAAAAAAGTTCCAAATGCTGGAGGGGTTCTGGGGGAAAATACTAAAAGATACCAAAAGAAAAATATTGACTTACAGAAAAGAGGCCTCCCTATGCTGTGTGTGTTAATAAAAGCTGCTCTTTGCTCTTAACCCCAGGGTTCCTTCCTGGCATGTTGGCCTTTATTTGGAATATGCTCATGCTGTAAATTGCATCTTCACAGCATCCTCTCATTGCATTCGGTTTATGTTGTGCAATGATTAACTAAAATAACTACAAGAGGGACCAGAGGCATGAGCAATGGTATGATGGGAGCTGGAAGCAGAGGGAGGTGGTTGAAACAGGAACTGATCACAGATGAAGCTGACCAATTCCAAACAGGAGGAAATGATCCCTGAAAAGGGACCCAGGGGAAAGCTCACAATTTAAATATGTAATTAAAGATGGAAGAGATGCAAGCTAAAATTATGCACTACCTTTTGGATAAGTTACAAAGAGAAAAAGGAGGAGGAAATTTGTATTTATGAAATGTAAAAAAATGTATCTGGCCCTGGGCTGGGCATATACTTTCTTCTGGAATCATAAAGGAAGATTAGCATTGCAAATTTGACCCTGTACTGAGCCTCATTTCCAGTGGAAGGCAGGATTACAGTGGTGGGCTTAGCAAAGTAGGTGGTTCCTGTTCTGAATTTCAGACGTATTTATTCTTCCTGGTATCACTTCCTAAGGTAGTCAGCACTGTGAAGCTTTCCACATTCCCAAGCCCTGGATCATCTATCCTCAAGTTCTGATCAAAATCTGCTCCCACTTTTCTGGCAGCTTGGAGGGTATCCTACAAATTCATTTTAATTGTTGACTGTGACATGTCACTTTCCTTCCTAGAGCAGTTGTATTTTAATAGAGAGATTCCACTTAGCCCCCACAAGGAACTCTCCAAATGTAGGAATTAAAGTTTACATGTAAAGAAGAGACATCTGGAGAAGGATTTGGGTTCACAGTACTTCCACAATGACATTAAGAAAGTTGCTAGAAGTTTTGCCTAATTTTACAATTAGCTTATAAACTCCAGACCCAGACTACACTGCCTCTACCAATGGCCCTCTGTGTTACCTTAGGTGAGTTGCTTAGTTTCTCCGACACTCAACTTTATCATCTGTCAGAGAAGGATAATGATAGACCTAAGGCAGTGAGAATTCAGTGATTTGATGTTCCATCTATGCAAACCATAAACTGAAAAGTAACAGGGCCTAGAAGATTATGAACCTACTACATAGCAGCCAGGCTGAAGGCCTTTTTGCTTCTATTGCAGGTTTCACTTTTTCTCCTATTATTCTGATTATTCCTTTCCTAGGAAAATTTGTTTGAATGAACATAGCTACTCTTGATACTAACATCATTCTCTATGTACCAGTGACATATGAGCAGACTGGTGATATCAAAGTGAGTGTTGTAGAATATACTGTATGTCAAAAGAGTTTGGGGAATTATATAAGCATGTGCATGCGCACACACACACACACACACACAAAGTTTAATTTTCCTCATCTCTCATTTGATTAATTTTTGAAAACCATTAGAGACTAAATTCCAGAAAGAAAATTCTTTCCTTTCTTGTTCCAAGAAATTTATTAACAATAACTTAAGTTAGCCTGAGAAAAAAGAATGCATGTATAGGACTTGGATCTCTTCACATAGTAAGCTACTTAAGTAGGTGTACTATTCATAATAGCACTGAGACCAATTAATTGATCAGTTTGATGTTGGCTGGGTACAGGCAGTTCCTGGGGTGGTCTGCATGTCAGGTGTAAGTCTCTTTAGTTTCTTAGGCTTCCAGGGAGGTTCCAGTCCTTCTGAGGGAAGGACCAAATGAGAGCTGGGTAGGGGGGTAGCACTGGCAAGATGCAATGTTCTTGGGGGGTTACTAAGAAGTATTTCAAAAGGCAGTGTGTACTTTGGTAATTTCCATGTGATACTAGACCTACCTTTTCAGCTATCTTGTTGAATCTATCTTTATGACATTGAGAACCCACAGAATCAACTGGAGATCTAACTACCATCTAGGCAATGGGAAGAGTTAAAATGTTATTCACATCTGTCACAGAAAAGACTGCTTTACCTTCCGGGAGCATCTCCCTTCTCATCAAACCACACCTCCTCTCCAGACACGCCGATGAATGAGGACTTGATGAGGAAGTCCAGGAGTTTCCTGCCGTCAATGGGCTTCATGGCATCACAGAGTCCCACGTGGCCAGGGCAGAGGGCATGGTGCATGTTCTGTAGCCCATGTGCCATGGCATAGATGGCGTTGATGACAAACCCCATCTTGCTGTCCTGGACATAGTTTTCTTCTAAGCTTTCATTGCCTGCAACAATAGAAACAGATCACTGCTGAGGTCACAATCATGAAGACCAGGTCTGTATGTGTATGTGTCAAGTGCTTCCAGGGCTTTCAAAGAAGGGAAAGAGCAATGGCAGTGCAAAGCCAAGGCCACCTGTGCAAACTTCATACTTTGGAGTGGCTTTGATGTATTCTACCTACAAAATGTTTCATGCAGTTTCATTTTCTGAACTCAATAATGGCTTTATGCAATATAGAACAAACTTCACAGAGGTAAAAATAAAAAAGTTTTCATGTATTATAAGCAAATCCTTAAAGAGCAAAGGTAATAACTTGAATTCGCTTTTGATTCACAGGAGCTTATATTAAAAGTCTCCTGTATCATGGTACTGTATCCTTTGTGACAACCTGCAATTCATGGTAATTCCTGTTTGGCAGTATCTAACCCCTGATATTTCATTTGGTGATTTCACTATTTTTATCATCTCTAGGGCCACAAAGGCCCCGATTTAGAAGAACTAGGTAGTATGAATCTCTTCTATATGATTGACAATGCAGAAATATTTAAATCATACATTGCTATTAGATACCCAATTAAAATATCTCTTGAGCGAGGAATTGTACTACACATTCATGTTATCATTCATCTTTTAACATATATATAATATAAGTTATATAAAATATAAAATATACATATATATTTTAAATTTCAAAAGTACTGTGATTATCTCTACCCATGCTGCATGTGAATAAACATTTCTCAATTGCCAACCATTTCACAGGAAACCTATGGCTTCAGATCTAAACTCCATATTGGAAGTTTAAACTTTAGGACTTGCATATGGATGAGAAATTTGGAGACCATCTGGATTTGATGAAATAAAGGTAACAAGTTTTAGAAAACAAAATGGATTTGGAGCACACCACTGGTATAAAGCAGACTTTCTACTTAGTTCCAGATGTCTGCTTTTCTGCAGTGGCTACCTGAGTGTGTAGTGAAGGGTCTGAGTGTTACGTTCCCAGCGTCTAGTTCTAGAAAGTCAGAAGGCTCAGCTCTTTATGGGTGAAGAATGTGAGGCTCTCTCCTGTCAGATCCTCTTTGCTTCAGCCTAAACAGTTCACTGGACACTAACATTCTTGAGCTGAAGACAATCAGAGGATTTTTAGGAAGTTGGAGAGCTTGGAGTCTTTAGAATGAAAGAGAAAAAGGYTTGCCCTTGATGTTGGGCTTCAGATAAAAATAGAAATTTCCAGAGAGTTCCATTTAAAGGCTGATTTAGGTGTAATTGAAAATGTGACAATATATGTGTATCTATCCTAAGAATAATACCCAAAATTCTCAGACCAGGTCGAAGGGGAAAGAGATTCAATTTAAACCCTCTTTCCAACTTTGCTTGATAAGACATTGCTAAAAGTATAATTTGCTAAAGTATAATATTTTCCAAATTGAAAGAAAATTTTCCAAGAAGAAATGAGGAGTAAGAGAAAAAGGGCATTTTAACATCAATATTTACAGAATAAGCATGGAAAGTTATATAAGACAGAAAGAAAAGATCCTCATTAAAAAAATTACAACATCGTCGACTTCTGTCTGTCACCCAGAACCTGGGCCTTTAATGTTAAGTTTTCTTTCCCTCAATTTCCAATCTTAATAGGATAAAAAAGTAAATTAGGGCCATTTGTCTGATAAATTTTAAATAAGCCTTTATAGGTTAGCCCAAGCCCCCATACACTGGAGCTAAATACTAAAGCTGCTAGAACCAGAGACATTTCCAGGAGACAGAGACAGAGATAAGGAGGCACCCCAAAACCTTCAATGTTGCAGAAACTTAAATGATCTTAATTAATACTGAAAACAACCACCTGAATTCGGAGGTATTAAAATTAACATCAGGATCAAATTTTAGGAAAATAAACACCCATCTTGTACCAAATGGAAAATTCTGTATTAGAGATAAACCTTATAGCCTCTGGATTTACTGTTCTTGTTTTAATAATCACTATTTAAGATTTACTATATAGAGATGAGCAATCATGTTGGTATTCCCAGTTCAAATGTCTTAATGCAGTGGCTGTCTTGTGGATTCTTCATCCATCAGCACTAAGACAGTAACCTTCCTGGATCTCTGTGAGAACAATGTTTTCTTTTTGATCCTTATTTAAGGTGATAATAAAGCTTACACAAACTGGGTCACTTTTCAAAGTGAAAGTGAGTGTTAATAATGATATTTTTCCAGAACATAAACAAGGTGACCAAACAAGGCAAATTTGAGGAAACCAATACATGTCTCTTGAGCCATGTGCCCTCTAACTGTATCCACCTACTGATGTTCTAATGGGTAAGATTTATGCACAAATACATATCTATAAATAATCAGTATAATATTTTATTACTTTTAACCAATTTTTACATTTATCTAATTTTAATGGCAAGTATCTACAATAATTTTTTGAGTGTCAGTTAGCTATCTATAATAATAAGAGAAATTGAACGTTCACTATTATCCTGTCAAATAAACATTAATTTTCACCATTTTAAAGACAAGGAAAGAGTATGGTAGAACATGGGAACAAATGCCTTCTCAGTCCTTGTTCTTTCTGTTACACTCAGAGACTGCATGGTGCACATAGAAACCTACAGAGGAGGCACTCTTCCAATTGCAGAGGAAAAGACACTTGGCTGTACAACAGCACATTGGCCAAGTCAATTTGGGGGCTTCTCCCTGGGATTGTTCCACATGGATTCAGCTGCCTCTCTGACCAGAAGTGTTGGCATCCATCCCTTGATAACAAATCGTGATGCAGAAGCTCATCCTGTCAGATATTTGCAAGGTATTAGCTCATAAACTTTTGCAAAATAAACACAAAGAGCTTTGTGTTTGTGACAATCTGAAGAGAGCACACGTACTTCCTTACCCTGTCAATCCACTGGCTCTGCACATGACAAGGGAGATGACCACAGTTAAGAACTGTCTCTTCAGCTCTACCCCAATCTCATCCCTGTTGGTTCTAGTCTAAAGAGAGATCATTTGGAATCATGGGATATACAATTGGAAAATCAATGGCCTTTATAGGACCATTTTCTTTGTCAAAGCAACTGTCTCAGATATGTTACAAGGACTCATTATCTGATAAACAAGATATATTACAGGGTTCCCTGCTTCCCACAAGAGCTTATGCTTTCATGACCAATGAATAGAAAATAAAAAACGAATAACATTTCCACTTGGTAGGAAGGTGAAAACATTGATTCCCTGGGGTTTAGTGCCTTTTCATAACACTAGTCTCAGAGTTATTAGTGAGAAGGGAATGTCATGATTCATTTTCTGTGATGCGTTAACTATTTTAGACCACTAGGGTGTCATTAAACCATTACCTTTTCTAATATGCTAAATGGAACCAAATAATTGAGGTTGACTGTTTATTTGCTTTCAAAAGAATACCTGTCTAACTGCTTCACAATGGATTGTGAAAATAGCTACCTTGATTGCAAATAGTAATCTTGTTCTTATTGCAAAAGCATGACGACTTTAAATTGCTACCTGAGTGTAGCAGCACATGGAGCTCCCATAGAGGCAGGATTAGGCATTGTACCTTCTGAAAACAGGAATTTCATGGTGGTTGGGAGAAATGTATGTAGTTCTATCCATCACCATTTAGGATGGTTATTCAGCAGAGTGTTATAGCAGAAGAAACTCTGGAGCAGGAACCTGGACTGATGAGAATCTTCCATATATAGTCTATCAACTATCTATTTTCAGCAAGCCATGGAACATGGATAAGAGTCTCGACCTCCTCAGGCCTTAGTTTCCTAACTAAAATAGCACAAATGGATTAGACTATCTTCCTGAAAGCCTCTTTCCCTTCAAGTTCAATGTGTTATTTCTCCAATCCCACATTTACTGGTATATGCAGAGCCATTCACACACATTATCCTTTTTTTAGTGCTCACAAAACCACATTATCATTTGACAAATGTGAAAATTAAAGTACAGAGAAGTCAAGTCATGGCTGGGAGTAAGGTCTTTCTTTCTCTTCACCTCAACATTCTTCATGAAGGAACTTACTGTGGAACACCTCATACCTCCCTCCTTACCTTACAAGGAAAGGAGTGACTTGCTTTTATTAGTGGATTAGAAAAAGAAACAAGACATGCTCAGCCCAATTGTTTCCTTCATTTGGAGCCAGGCACTTGACTCCAAGGTTCTGCTGGTTCTCTGTTGTATAGTCAATATGGGCTATACTAGTGGGCTAAGTTCAGCAGTACCAGTGACTAGATAGTTAGTCAACCCAATTCTGGGATAAAATATTCAAAAGTAATTTGTAGGCACATATCTTATCCACTAATCTATATTTATATCCAATTTTATTTTTGATGGGGTTTTTCTTTCAACTTTTAATAACTTTTTCATTGAAATAAAACTCACTTAAAGTGCAAAAATCTTTAGTGTACTGGTCAATAAACCTCCACATTTGTACCCACCTATGTAACTTCCACAAAGTTAATAAATTTATCCTAGCAGTGTTTCATAGTTTTCAGAGTTCAGATTCTAAGCATTTGATTTTTCTGGTACTACCTCAATTTTAAATTTACAAAAAAAAAAAATGTTTGTTTCTAGTGCATAGAATACTATTGATATTCATATACCAGCTTCATATCCTTAAAGCATACTGAATTTACTTGTTAATCTTTTTGTACATTATTTTAAATATACTATGTTCATTAATGCTTCTAACAAAATGATATTTAATCTCAACATATCTGCCCCTCGATCCATTTATTTGTATCCAACTTTGGGAAGGAAATGCATTGGCTGGCCAATTAAAATCTCAGTAGTTCTATAATCAAGTTCCCATGGCTATCAAGAACAGAAGCAAGCCATGCGCAGTGGGGCATGCCTGTACTCCCAGTGGCTTGGGAGGCTGGGGCAGGAGAATCAGAAGTTCAAAACCAGCCTTAGCAATGGTGAGGCACTAAGCAACTCAGAGAGACCCTGTCTCTAAATAAAATACAAAATAGGGCTT